TTTTTAATTAAGATATCTCTATTAATAGAGATATCTTAGTTAAAACTAAGATATCTCTATTAAAAACTAAGATATCTCTATTTAAAACTAAGATATCTCTATTTACGATTAAATGACAACTCGGCTCGCCATAAAAATAAGTGCTAAAAAAATCTCTGCAAAGATGATATGTATATAAATATTTTACCTTTTTATTTTTTGTAATAAATTTCTCATTTTTGTCTTCTGCTATTGAAAGTTTTCGATGTGAGTAACAATGGAATCTGCCCAGACTGCTATACTGGTGACAATTGCGAAATCTGTAAGTTGCATTTTAACATTAGCTTAGCTGCCTCCTTCTAGATGTTATTTAGTATAAAGGAGCTTAGTGTGAAATTTAAAATTACGCAGAGTTTGGTTGAGAGGAAATTTCCTGCTTTTTGTGGTGCAGACTCTTATTCAAACCCGGCTAGCATCGGTTTTTAATTGTTGTCTGGTTGCTCAGCTACTCGATTAACCCGCACATTGAGAGAAGTGTTAAGGTGTTAGTGTTTGTGTGTATCCGTTACAAGTTGTAGTCGAGTTGCTCTACAATGCAGTTGCTGCGTTCAACAGAGGCCCTGCCAAAATTTCCAAGGTGAATGATAATAAAGAATGATTTAAATGCAAACATTATCCAGGAAGATCGCACCAATTTTATGACAAGATTCACATCAATAATCAAACCAAAAAAGTAAATTGTATATTATTTGACTATAAATGCTGGATTTTGTCCATAAAATTAGTATATTGTATAAGGAGACCTTTTAAATACTTTCCGTTTTATATATTTTTTAAGAAGATTAACCATGTTGGCAAATTCCTGAAGCCATCACTGTTTCCTAGGGAACTGTCATGCAAGAGGGCCTGGTTGTGTATGGCCTAGTTCAGACTAGGTGGATGTCTCAACTCACCTGGTTTATCCACCTGCCAGTCTTAACTAGGTGGCTTATCTCAAGCCAGGCTGTGTTCCTATAGTAACTAGACCTGGCGTTAAACACAGTGGTTAATCTACCTAGTCTGAACTAGGCCAGAATAAGCTATTTTGTATAACCAGTGGAAGTGAATGGCGGTGTTTGTTAACTTTGAAAAGAAACAGGTTAAATGTCTTCACACTTTGTGCTGCTATAAAATTTTATTATAATTTATTATGCGAGTCCTGGATGAGAGCCGGTAAATTTAGTTGGGGGATTGATCTATATTAACAATCTTGCTTCATTGTAAAACTTCAGTAAATACATAATCATTTTCAATTATATAAGGTTTGTTGTTTGCAGAGAGTTTTAACATATTTGTTTTTATTAAAAAAGGCCACATTCAGCAGATTTTGGACAAAAAAATAATACTTTGGGCCTCCTTACGGCGGTCTGGGAAACCTAGTGAGAGTTCATACCCGTTATGCCACTGTTTGTACGGTGGATGAAACATTATACATGATCGGTATACCATGTGAAGGTGTGAAAAACAAGACATTTCTTGTGAATTTAAATTGCATGGACGATATACACATATTAATGGATGGACCCACACATTTCTCAAGTTTAATGTCTGATGGTAGTAAAACACATGGTGGGTAAATCAAACTCCAGCACTAGCAGAATAAAAACACAATTTTAGGCCAACCTAATACATAAATCCCACCAAAGGATTAATTCAAGGACCAAGACCGGGGCTGAAGGCTGCCTCTTAGTTTGGACCTCTATCAGGTCTGTTGGACCCCCTGACGGCATAGTTCTGGATCTACCAGTGGGATTAGATTCATGCCACGTGAAACTTAATAATGGTCTTTGCAACAGGTGTCATGTTTCATTCATTTCTTGAACTACTTTAAGATTTGAATGTTTTTTTGATCGGGAATATTGCCATGATATGCCACCATCTTCTATTTCAAGTGATATTAGCAGGGTTGGATGCAATGGCTCTCTGTTCTTTACAGTAGCTTTGTAAACTGCTTGTGAGTATTTTAACCCAGTCTACTTATAAATAACCTATGTTCTAGGTTTTCATTTAGCTTTGTTTTCCCAATATGGCTGTATAAGGAAGCATTATATGAATCTGGCTTGCTGTGTAAAGTGGCCAAAGTATTTAATTTTGTGTTAAGATATGTGTTATGCTCTGATATTCCAATCTTATTTACATGTTATACATTACTTAGATTTAATAGTGAAAATAACAGTTATAAAGGTGAAGAAACTGTTCAATAGTTTAGTGGTTACAGTTAGTGGTTTATTGATTGATGCAAGACAGACACCCAAGAACTAAGTCTCTATCTTGCATTCCAACATGATGATGATATCGAAATGACTTATGAATATTTATTAACACGTGTATATATATTATGTACCAGTCAGTATAATAAACACTTGTAGACTACTTCTTATTATACTTACTTATTTACTGTACTGTATGTGTCGTAAGCATGGCTACTCCACCTACTACTACACAAATTATAACAGGTTATGGGCCCAGGAAAACTTTGATTTTTGATGGAGATGAAACAAAGTACGAACTCTGGGAATAAAGTTTTTAGGACAGATGCGCCTACGGAAGATGTATAATGTTTTTATACCCGGGAATGCAGATGCAGCAGAACCCGATGAGGCAAAGAACGCTGAGGCTTTTGCCGAATTAACGCAGTGTCTCGATGATCGAAGTTTGTCGTTGATCATCAGGGAAGCAAGAGATAATGGCCGGAAAGCTCTGGAAATTCTTAGAGAACATTACCAAGGCAGAAGGAAGCCAAGGATAATAGCACTCTATACAGAATTGACTTCTCTAACGAGAGGAGGAGGTGTGAGTGCATTACAGATTATATTATTAGGGCAGAGCCTGCTGCTACGGCACTCAGAAACGCCAACGAAACAATAAGTGATGGTTTGCTTGTAGCAATGATATTGAAAGGTTTACCAACAGTGTTCAATACAATTGGAACTGTGATTGCCCAAAAGAACAAGGAAGTTTCACAGAATTCAAAATTGTGAAGAATCAGAGAAGAGCAAAGGAAACCTAATAAGTAGGGATAACGTAATGATTACAAGCGCGATACCTACCTTTGAAAATCAAACTTCATTCAAAGGAAAGTGTTACAACTGTGGGAAGAAGGAACACACAAAAGTCCGGAATGCAGAGTAAAAGGCAATACCATTAACAAATGTGGCAAAGACAAGCCAAACCAGTCACTCGTCGCAAATCATGTTTTAAAGAAAATGGCCAAAACATGCTGGAATGTCAAATTTTTAAAAATCTAACACAACACTTTTTAAGGATTTGATGATAGTTTCTGCATGAGAAATGCTTAAAATCATAAACTTTGAATGCTGATTTCTCATATATTGTTCTTTAAACAGCTGTATGTTTTAACGCTTGTAACTTCATAAGGAAATGTCCGATTTGAATGATTTTTTTTACCATTTTATAGCTATTATTTTACTCTCTAACTCTGTATTAATAACTCAAAATCGATTTTTGCGACGAGTGACTGGTTTGGCTTGTCTTTGCCACAAATGGTGCAGCCACTGCAAGAACAAATCTCACGAAACAAAGGAATGTCGCATGAAAAAGAAAATCACAAAAGTTGCGAAAGAGGACACTTATAATGAGCATTTTTTGCATTTAACATTCAAGAAGATTATTCTAGTCGAGGTAAGAAAAGCTGCCTCTTAGTAGACACTGGTACTACAAGCCACATTATTTGTGATAAATCTAGCTTTACTAATTTTGACAATGATTTTAACTCTAAAGACCATGTCATAGAATTAGCCGATGCGAGTAAGACAAATGTACTGTAGTATTTGGTCGAGGCAAAGCTAAAACGTAATATATCACTTGACAATGCATTATTTGTGCCATCATATAATCAAAACATTTTTAGTGTCTAAGCGGCAATAAAAAAGGGTGCAGCTATAAATATAAGTAAGAAAGAAGCCCACATGAAAGCCACCGATGGTAAATATTTGAAATGGAAAAGAAAGGGAGATTGTACTTTTTAAATAGTGTAGTCCCAACAAAAAAACCCTTAAAGAATGGCATTCTATTTTTGGCCACTGTAATTTAAGTGACATTAGAAAACTCCCTAATGTAGTAAAGGGCATGACTATCATAAAAGATAATAATTTTGATTGTGATATTTGTACACAAGGAAAAATGTGTCAATTTCGCAACTGTATGCCAGATACGAAGGCAAAAAGAACAATAGAATTTGTACATTGTGACTTGACAGGGGCTATAGACCCAGTATCTAAAGATGGTTTCAAATATTCTTTATGTTTTGTTGATGATTATACAGGTATAAATATGGTATATTTTCTTAAACAGAAAAGTGACACTGTACAAGCAACTAAAAACTTTCTGGCTGACGTAGCACCCTTTGGCAAAGTTAAGCGCATTAGAAGCGATAATGGCACTGAATTTACTAGTGAAAATTTCAAGTCTCTACTTAAGAAATATTTTAAGCATGAGACTAGCACCCCATACTCTCCACACCAAAATTGAACCGTTGCGAGAGCATGGAGAAACCTATTACTGTTAATTGAAGCAAATTTACCCAGAATAAGAATTACTGGTACATGCAGTTCTGGCCTCTGCATACATTCGGAATAGATCTTGCTGAAAGATGCCAGTAAAACTGGACGGTTACGCCCCTTTTTCCCCCAGTTTTTAAGTATTCAAAAATCTGTATCTCGTTCGCCGTTCCCCAGTTTTTCGTCAAACAACTTTTTTCTGTCTTAGAAAAATCAGTTCTACAACATATCAAAAAAATTTTTTTCCTCCGGAGCCTGACTTTAAGGTATTTGAAGGGAACAATCCATCCAAGTCTTAAATTCAGGAAATCAGAAGTACCGAGTGGTTTTTGTGATGCAGACTGGGGAGCCTCATTAACGGATAGACGGATAGACGTAGTATTACAGGTTATACTTTCCAATTAAGTAACAATGGACCACTTATATCTTGGAAAAGTTGTAAGCAACAAACTGTTGCATTATCCACATGTGAAGCTGAATATATGTCAATGGCAAATTGTATACAGGAAGCAAAATTTCTTATGCAATTATTGATTGACATGGGCAGATGTAAATCAGATGATGATGTCACCATAAATGTTGACAATCAAGGAGCTATAAATTTAGCTAAGAATCCAGTTCACCATAAAAGATCCAAACATATTGATATTAAGTATCATTTCATTAGATCCGGAAGTACAGAGTGGAAATGTAAACTTGAAATATGTTCCAAAACATGACAACATAGCTGATGTTTTCACCAAACCGGTAACTAAAATTAAGTTAGAAAAATATAAAACAATTATGATGGGAAACTAAGTGAATCCCTGGTTGAATTGTAAATGAGGTAAACACATTTATTACGTACATTTTTAAAAGTTTGAATGTTATTAAGAACATAAGAGCAAGTTGGAATGTTAAGATATATGTTAGGATATGCTCTGATATTCCTATCTTATTTACATATGTTATACATTACTAAGATTTAATAGTGAAACTAACAGTTATAAAGGTAAAGAAACTCTTCAATAGTTCTAATAGTGGTTACAGTTAGTGGTTTATTGATTGATGCTAAGACAAATACCCAGGAACTAAGTCTCTATCCTGCATTCCAATATGATGAAGATATCCAAATGATTATGCATATTTATTAACACTTGTATATATGATGTACCAGGGCGTTAATACGACGGGGGGTTACGACGAACAGCCCAAAAACTGGAGAAGTCCGCATTTAAAAACGAAACATTTATATTCATAAATACATTTATAATGTTCTCCATGTTTGGGCGAGTTGAGTGGCCGAGCGGTAAGGCAGGCAAGCCACTAGCTGCAAACTAAACATCAGTGCTGGTTCCAGCTGCTCCTCGCCCATGGTTGGTTGGTTGAACCAAGTCTTCTTGGAAAAGCACTTAAAATGGAGGTCCAGTGTATACATCTGGCCTGTGTGCACTTTAAAGAACCCATTGCATCTTTCGAAAGAGTAGGGGGTTACCCCGATGTTATGGTTCATTTCAGCCCCTGTCGTTGTGGAATGATGTGGACATGTATCTACCAAGAAGTGCCTCTTTACGGCTGCTAGGTAGTCACGGACCATTCCCATACGAAATTCAGCAAAATGACGCTGCAAGTTATGGGTTATTCTCCTACTTTACCTCTTACCTTTATCAGAGTATCAGAAAGAAGGGTCCACTTTCCACTGAAATGAACCTCCCAAAATTAAGTCACAGTACTGGCCTGGAATGCCATACAAAATTATGACTATTGGCATTAAAGTTCTTCATGATGACTGTAAATTGCTGTATGAAAAATGATGCAGTGGTATTTCCTCGTGCAAACAAATTCTACTGAAGGAGACCGCAACCGACAACTGGAAGGGTTAATTTTCCTCCACTGAGTATATATATATATATATATATATATATTATCTCTATGCATTTTGTTGTTCTTTACAAAGCACCGTAAGTGTCAAATTTTGGCAGATACCACAGCTAAATTGATATTTCCTTTTATTTGGAAAATTCCGTATTAAATGCCTGTGAAACAATTCATGTCAGAAAGGAGCTGGCTGCTGTTCCCAAGTTTCAGATTCTCTACAGCTTACACATGTTCCTCTCCTACTTGCTTCACTGGCCAATTTTGTGAAACCTGTTGAAGCTTGTCAACTACTGTGGTAGTCAATGACAACCACTTGTTCTGTCGATTCAGAACGGTTAAGAACTTTATTATTATTATTATTATGTAAAACAAAAATTATAATGCATCATTACATGATCATATAATTATGATCATGTAATCATGCACTGTAAATTGTTTTGCGAAAGTCCTGAATACACTAATGATCAAAATTTTATTCTGGACATGATTACGACTCAATAACATCCCCAGCAGTTTATTGATTGATGAAGTGATGTTTAATTTCAGTGTTAAATGCTTGCGACAACAATGCGTGTCAGAATGGAGCTGGTTGTGTCCAGGTTTCTGGTTCCTGTACAGCTTACGAATGTTCCTGTCCTAATTGCTACACTGGGCAATTTTGTGAGACTTGTAAGTTACACATGTTTATAGTTTGAGTTGTCACCTTTCAGATCTGTATTCCTATTATGATCATCCAATGAATGCACTGTAAGTTGTTCTGTCGAATATTCTGAATGCTCCATTAAGCAGAATCTTATTCTGGACATATGATGCAATAACATTTGTAGCAGTTGACTGTCTGACTGACTGATTGACTAATTGACTGATTAATTGATTGATTGATTGACATTTTGTGAAGGTACACATGTTTATAGTTTCAATTGTGAAACTGGTAAAGTTAAAAATGTTTATAGTTATGAGTCATTTTCTTGTGTTTGCAGAAGTTCTTACCATTGAACTTTTTCGTAGAGCTTTTAGATATTATTAACATAATTATCACAAGGAGTTCGAGTATAACAATATTTTGGAACGGGGTTGAACGATAAGATTTTCACCTTATGCCTTATACGATCTGTATTCCTATTATCATCATCCAATGCATGCACTGTGAGATGGTCTGTCGAATATTCTGAATGCGCCACCGAGCAGAATCTTATTCTGGATAAAATAACATTTCTAGAAGTTGATTGATTGATGTGATATTTAATCAAGGACTTTTAACTGTTACCAGGATAGGAAGCTGGCTAGTTTAAGCCATCTAACTTAAGTTAGCCTTATGTGTGGTATTGTTATGCTAATGAGCCAGATAAGCACAATCGGCACTAGCAGGTGATTTAATTTCAGTGTTAAATGCTTGCACCAACAATGCGTGTCTGAATGGAGGTGCTTGTGTCCAGGTTTCTGGTTCCTGTACAGCTTACACATGTTCCTGTCCTAATTGCTACACTGGGCAATTTTGTGAAAGTTACAAATATTTATAGTTTGAGTCATTAACTTTTACGATCTGTATTCCTATTATGATCATCTAATGCATGCACTGATTGATTGATTGATTGATGAAGTGATATTTACTTTCAGACATTTCAAGCCTAAATTATTGGAAAGTGAAAGTACAGCACTGTTAGAGTCAAGATAAACATGCTTTTGAGTAATTGCCTTCCAAAGTTATTTGTGCATACCTTGTTTAATAGAATTAACTATTTAAATAACATTAAGTAAACAATTTGTTGACCAATTCCAGAACTAATACTTTGAGACATGATTATTAAGACATTAAACTGTTGTGAGTGAGTGACAACTCTGAGTGAGTGACAACTTGTCACAGGGATAAGTGAAGCGTCTAGTGCAAATTCCATCTGCCAATGGCTAGCCCATGGGCAAAAAGAAAGCCGAGAGCGTAAGTCTTTCCTGCCAGTACACAGCCTCTCCTTATTCAAGACTCCTACACTGACTCCTCGTGGCCACTCTTGGTAACTGGGATCTTAAGATCTCAGGCTAAATGTGTAGGGGATCTCGGAGTAGCAAAGGGCCCCAGAGATGTAGCATACATGGCCCACCAGTGTGTGGATATGCCCTGATGCCCACCAACCTAGCCCCACCTATGGGTCAAATAGCCAATGGCGTATCTAGCAGTATTTAAATGGGGGGGCTGGTGTGGGGGGGGGGGGGGCGACCAAAATATGAGGGGGGGCGCGACCAAAATATGAGGGGGCGTGGAATTTATTTTCGGTGGCCACGCCCACTGAAAAATATTGCTTCTTAGATTCCCGAATACACGTTAACTGTGACAGCATATGCATAAGCCCAACCATAAGCCCAGCCTAATTTTTTTGCTTCGAAGTTTTCGAATGGGGGGGGGACGCGAGCTTTTTGGATACGCCACTGCAAATAGCTGGATGGAATATCATCTAACGTGGATGAGCTTATCAGAAAAGCCAACGGCACCAAAACCTGTGTTGCCAGGACAGGTTATTTAACTTTAAATTTAACTAAGGCTGAGGGAACCCTACAGAAAACCTCTACTGACACCTCGCCTTGCCAGCGCGTCAGTATATGGCAAAAAACCCAAAAGCAATTATGAAGAAAGCATTGAAGAAAGGCCGTAGAGCCCATGGCCATAACGGACGAAACTATAGTTGCAATAGGACCACTGACCGCTCTGAAGTAACTTCTAATGATGTCTTGCAGTCAAAGCCGAAAGGAAGCTGCAAGATTGATGAGAGTAGGAAAGCTGGCCCACTAATTGACCTATACATACTGTATGTACATACAGGCTACGGTCACACTAGAGTTTCAAGCCTGGCTTGACTCACCCCGGGTGAGATTTTCGTAATGTGACCGCATCTGCACCGACTCGCGCCTGGCGTGACCTCGATCTCAATCTACCTATCTCGATCCCGGCTCAGCACCCATATTGACCCTGGCATGACCGAGATTGACATTTCCTCGTCGGCTGTCGACCAATCACAGTCGATGATGCTGTAGCACTTAGAAGCTGTTGAATAAAAAAACCTGTGAGTCCTTCATGTGTGTTCAATCAAGACGCAATCATTACTTTTCATAAAAGTTAATTCAAATTTTAATTAATAATAATGTGATTGATTTGGAGCGACCAGGAAACTGCTGACCTGGTAGATTTGTGGGGCCAACCCGAGCTGAGAGACCAGATAGAAAATTAAAAAAAAAACAAACAACAAAACAAGAATTTTTGGCGTGCTTGCTGACAGATTAGCCAGTCTCGGACATGAGAAGAGAACGACGGCCCAAATTCAAACAAAAGTGAAGGCATTGCGAGCCCAATACAAGCTGATGAAAGATCAGTTGAAGTAGAGTGGTTCGGGCACGTCTGGTGAAAAATCTTTAATTGCGATCCACCCAATCACACATGCGCATATATCGAATCCCGTGAAACAGAGTTGGCCAAACTCTCTCTCTACAGCTCTGCTGTTTCGACTTTCATAATTTGGAGGTCAATCCAACTAGTGTGACCGACCCAGAATTTCGAGCCTGTTTCGAAATCTTACCCGCGGTGAGTCAAGCCAGGCTTGAGATGCTAGTGTGACCGTAGCCACAATGTAAGGACCTTGAGGACAGATAATGCACTGGAACACTTCCTAGAGGAACTTGAAGGTTTCAAGTGGCACATAATTGGCTTGGCAGAGACGAAGAGAGAAGGGGAAGGATTGATAGAATTAAAAGGAGGCTCTTGGCTCTTCAACAAAAGCAAAACAGAAAATGACAAAGATGCAAAAGGAGTGGGCTTCCTTATACACCCAAAATAAAAGGACTGTATTAAAGAAGTCAAAAGTTACTCAAATAGAGTGGTATCATTAAATAGAGTGGTATCATTAAATATACAACTTGCAGCTAAAGAACATATCAGTATAATACAAGCATATGCACCTGCAAATGACTATGGGGACTCAGTTATAGAAGAATTTTATGAATACATAGACAAAGCAATAAAAGAAAACCATGGGAAATACACAGTATTGATGGGTGATTTCAATGCGAAATTAGGAAAATGTGAGGCAGGAGAAGAACTCTAGGAACATTTGGAATAGGACAAAGGAACAGAAGGGGAGAAAGACTAATTGAATTCACAGTAGAACAAAAGTTAACAATAACCAACAATTTATTTAAGAAAAACAAGAAAAGATACTGGACGTGGGAAGCCCAAATGGGTTAACAAAAAATCAAATAGACTTCATTATGACAAACCAGAGAGGAATTGTCAAGAACTGGAAGGTAATAACCACAGTAGATATTGTAAGCGACCATCGAATGGTAAGAGCAGAAATACGTATCAACAAGAAGCTTGATAGGCTGAAATTCATTAACACCAAGAAGAAGAACAGAATTAACATATCGAAACTAAAAGAAAGAAAAGATGAATTCCAGATTGTGCTCAAAAACCGATTTAAATGTCTAAGGATAGAAAACACAAACATGGACATTGATACCAAATGCAACCACATAACAAACGTGTTGAAGGAAGAAGCAATGAATCTTGCACCATCACAAAAAATAACTTATCACAAATCTGAAGAGGATAAAGAAATAGAGATCTTAGATAAACGAAGGAAAAAAAAATTGAAGACAAAACATTAGTTGAAAAAATAGAATACGCATAAACTATAAAGACAATGAGGAAAAAACGAAGACAAAGAACCAGAAAGAGAAAACATAAAATAATCATATAAATTCTAGAAAGTAGAAGAGGCCCCAAAAACATAAATAAGTTAAACAACAAAAAAGCAAGAATCAACCAACTCAGACGGAAGGATGGAAGTATAACATCAGATAGATCAGCAATACTAGAAATCTGTTCAGACTTCTACACAGATCTTTACGCTTCAACAAAGACAGTAAAAAAGAAGAGCGAAACAGAAACAAATACACTACCAAATATAATAACATCAGAAGTGGAAGATGCCATCAGAAAAATGGAGAAAAACAAAGCACCAGGACAGGACAATTTGACAAGTGACATCATTAAACTAGGAGGGGAGGAAACAGTTAAGCAACTAACAAAGATGTACAACCAAATATTACACAAAAAGAAAATCCCAATCACATGGAAAGAAGCAAAAGTAATTCTACTACTCAAGAAAGATGACAAGACAGATATAAAAAACTATAGACCAATCAGCCTTCTCTCTAATACTTACAAGATATTCGCCAGAATAATTCAAAATAGACTAAAGAATATATTGGATCAACAACAACCAAGAGAACAAGCTGGCTTCAAGGGGGGCTTTTCCACAACAGATCATCTACAAACAGTAAACCAGCTCATTGAAAAAACAAATGAATTTCAACTCAATTTGTGTCTGGGATTCATAGACTACCAAAAAGCTTTTGACAGCATTGAACATAGGGATATGTTTGCTGCACTACATAACATGGGAATCGATGAGGGTTACATACAAATAATAGAAGAAATTTACTCGAATGCAAACGCAGGAATTCACATAGATAATGACATATCTAAAGAAGTGCAGATAAGAAAAGGTGTTAGACAAGGAGACTCATTGTCCCCCAAGATATTCACAGCCACACTGGAAGAGGTATTTAAATCAAACCTAGAAGATAAGGGGATTAACATAGATGGAGAACAACTCACAGATCTAAGATTTGCAGACGATGTCATACTTATCACAACATCAGTCAAGGATCTAGAACACCAGCTACGGAGTTTAAATAATAAAGCAAAAAGGTTGGTCTACAAATGCACACGGGAAAGACTAAATACATGACAAAATATAAATCACCAGATAAAATAACAATAGAAAATCACCAGATAGAAAGAGTTGACAAATACACATATCTTGGACAATCATTGAAAATGAAAGATACCATGAAAGAAGAAGTACCTATTCAGATAAAGGAAGGTTGGAAATGCTTTTGAAGATATAAGGATATATTAACTAACAAAGAAATACCAACTTCCTTAAAAAAAAAAATCTTCAACCAATACATCCTGACCAAATTGACATATGTCGCAGAGGTATGGTCAACTACAAAAGAAATGGAAGAAAACCTAATAACTACACAAAGAGCAATGGAGAGAAGAATGCTGAACATATCACTACGTGATAAAGTGAGACACGCCATCATTAGCAATCAAACAAAAGTAAAAGACATCATAGAGAAGATCAAGGAAATGAAGTGGAGATGGGCTGGACACATATCAAGAATTCAAGACAACAGGTGGACCAAGAGACTAACAGAATGGCAACCATGGACAGGAAAGAGGAGAGGAAGGCAGATAAGAAGATGGAAAGACGAACTAACCTCATATATGGGAACAACATCATGGAATAGATCGGCAGAAGACTCGCTCTTTTGTTGTGGGGGTTATTCATAGAAAAAATAACACTAACTATTCAGAATTTCATGATAGCCTATTAGATGTCCTTAAGGTGGATAAAAATGAATGCATTCTTTTAGGAGATTTCAATTTTTATATTTTGGAAGCTTCAAGTAATATTGAATCATATCTTACAAATCTTAATTGTTTTAATATCCAATTACTAATTAACATACCATCCAGGGGACACGGAACTAGGAGGTGCTGCATCATGGAGAGTAATGTGTGACCGGAAATGGTCTGCCAGTTGGTTGTTACAATGCACCAGTGATGTTGGAGTACAGCAAGATGGAACTATTTATGTAATGCATGAATAAAGTTCGGGGTTTGTCGGGTAGTGAAATGATTATTGTACATTTTAATTGCTCCCTCCATGCATAAGTGTAAGCTAAATTACGGTGATTAATTAGCGAAGTTTTGGAGACAATTATTTCGAAGTTCCCTCTTTCCAAGAGGGGATGCATATGCTTTGTGAAAATGAGTACGCTGTGGTACTCATTTTCACAAAGAATACACTCAGCTGGTTAGCTAAGGCAATATGCAAATTTACACCTGGGAAGAAAGGTGCAATCACGTTCTGTTGCCTTGCAAACGTCTGTACTGTAGCGTGGGAGGGGGGGTCTAGCCTACTGATGTACTGTGTATAGCGGGGGACGATGAAGCATAATATGACTACGCCTAAGTAGACAGTGCAATTATATGTGATAGAAAGTACACTTTCGAAAGAAATAAATTAAAATAAGAAAACAAAAATTAACTAGGGCCTAAGAATAATTCAGTTGCAGACGTACCTTGTTTAAGTATTATATGCTAACTATGCGGCTCTTGTAGCCCTAGCTAGGCAATGCATTCATGTGCAAAGCAGTGGTGTTGGTTTATCCATGAAAAAAGCACGCCGGGAAAATTTGCCTTACCAGGAAAAGGTGACGTAATCTAGCTTATGACGTATGAATGCGTGAGTGTGACGTCACCAAAAAATAAAAATTTTCTATTATAACCAAAATATTATTAACTACAATGTTTGTGGGCGTAAATTCCCTTAATACAAATTAAGGGTAGCACCATCTCCTTGCTATACAAATTACAGTTCCCATTGACGTCTCAGTCGAGAAATACGGGTAGCTGAAGTTTTTCTCGAAAATCTGACTACGAAACCAAATTGAAATTCACGTTCCACTTCTGAATCTGAGTTGTGCTTCGCACACGCCACTGAGGGCGGCATTCCGGGAACCCTGCGTCTAGAATCGATAAAAAATGCTGTACATTAATTGATAATATTTAAACATTTTTAGTAATACTATCCATTCTGGTTCAGTAATATGCGATATATCCGACCACTACCCCGTTTTTTCAGTTTTTGAACAGATACAAATCTGTGATAAAAAAGAACATATTTTTACAGCCACTTTAATTTGAATAATTTCCAGTCTGACTTGTCTCAGGTTTTGTCTGATGATGTAGTTTGTTGTAGTGATGTCGATGAAGCATATGACAAGTTTTATGATATTTTTACTGAAATATGCAATAGTCATGCACCACTTGTTAGACGAACAATAACAATTTTTCAAGAGAAAAAACCCTTGATTACCAAAGGTATAAAAAAAGTCAATTAGGAAAAAGCATAAGCTGTAAGTTGTAAGATCAAACTTTGACCCATTGCTCTTTTCTGATTTTAAACGATATAAAAATCTTGTGACAAAATTAATACGAAATTCAAAACATTGCTTTTATCGCGACTTTCTTTCAAAAAATAACAATTATAATAAAATACTATACTTAGTCTAAACCCAACATATTACCCGATAACATGAACGTTGAATCCGATGAAGGAAATATCAATTTTACCGATAGTTTATCCATGGCAAAATTGGTCCTAATTTAGCGCACAGTACATCAACTGATTTTTATGATTTCTTGGTCAACCATGCCAGACAGGATAAACTGCCATTTTTTCCGGTCACGTTTTTCTCAGCGGTTTATCATCCTGACCCCATACTGTTTGAAATAAGCTTGGGGGGGGGCACCCAACTTTTTGCCTCAAATCCAAGATGGCCGCCAAAATCTAAAATGGCCGCCAAAATTATTATTATTAAAGATATACAACATATTTATTTGGTGTTGTCAACTTTTTTGAAGTGCAATTGTCACCTCAGACCTAAGCCTTTCAAGATCAATCAAGGGCCACCAAGAATTTTGCCTCAAATCCAACATGGCCGTCAAAATCCTAAATGGCTGCCAAAAATCACAATTTTAGTTAGAAAAAATGTAGCATATTATTCAGTTATGTTAATGTTTTTTCAGTTGATTTGTCACCTGATACTTAAACCATTCAAGGTCAATTGAGGGCCACCCAGAAATTGGCCTCAAATAAAAAATGGCCCCCAAAATTAAAAAATGGCTGCAAAAAATACAATAATTCCAGATTTGCAGCTTATTATTTGGTTTCAAATGTTGATGTTTTATCAGTGGATTTGTCATCTGGGACATAAACCTTTCACGGCCGGACAATCGAGTGCTACTGAGAATTTGGCCTCAAATCCAAGATGGCCGCCAAAATGCAAATCCAGAATTAACTTAATTCGGTAAATTCTGCCTATTATTTGTTCCTGTTAACGTTTTTTCAGTGAATTTGTTAATCCTGAATTAATTTGAAATTAAAATTAAGGCTACCTAAAA